TTAATTATCTTTATAAATTGCACAATTTTTTCCCGAAATTCAATTTTTTTTTTAATTTTAATTAAATTCTTGTAAAGTAATTATCTTTATGAATAGCAAAATTCTTTGACAAAATTCAAATTATATTGAAAAATTTTAATAAAATTCTTTCACAATTTTCATTTATTTTTATAAATTATAAAAATTTCACAGGAATTCCATTATTTATTAAAATTTGTTTATAATTTTCTTTAAAATAATTAAGTTAGTTTCATATATATATATATATATATATATATATATATATATATATAAAATAAAATTCTATTTAGTATACAATTATTTTGATAAAAAATAAAATTCATCGTAGAAATTCAATTATTTTCAAAAATTTTAATAAAACTTTTAGAAAATTCCAATTATTTTCAAAAATTTCCCACAATTCAATATATTTTCAATTATTTTCATAGATAGTAAAATTTTATATACAGGGATTCAATTATTTTCATAAATAATGAAATTCTACTTAGGAATTAAATTATTTTCATTTATAAATAATAAAAAATACTCATTGCAGAATTTCAATTATTTTAAATACAATTTTAATTGAATTCCACGAAAACGGTAAATATAAAAAAATTTTATTAAAATTCATCTAAAGAATTCAATTATTCAATTATTCAATTATTTTTCAATTATTTAAAAATTTGTTAATAAAATTCTTTTTGAGAATTCAATTTTAAGAAATAATGTATTATTCAATTAATTATTGTTGTAATTAAATAATTGAATTCTCGGTCAACTTTAATTATTGATTAAAAATTTTAATTAATATGTGAATTAATACGTAATAATTGGTCCGTAATTTTAAATTTTTTGTCCGTAAATCGGTATTTTTAAATATTTTCACTATTTCGAGCCCTGCATAGGGACTTTTTTGGACTAGACAATATTTTTCCAAATTAAAAATCGAAATTTTTCAGGTAGAATTAGGAAATGAAATTTTTAATTTAATCGGCCATGCATATGATGTTTTGAATAAATATTAATTTTAATGGGTATAGTCAAAGTATTTCTTCAAAAGGCCAGTGTATTTGGTCACATACTTTGCATCACTGATTTCACTCTCCTCGACGTGAAAAGCAGAGATAATATAATTGCAAACGTTTGAAGGGATTATATCTTCAATTTGTTCAGTACATAGGTACGGCTGTGTTTGTCCAACTCACGAGCTCATGACAAAGAGAAAATCATTTCCATCTCAAGTTTCATGAAATATGTTTGCTCTAAACCTTATAAGCTCTATTTTTTAGTTTCAACATCTATTCACATTTAATTAAAGCTCTTCGATAAATCACATATTTATTTTCAAACAATCAGACATTTTTAGCTTCTCTCTTATTTTCGCATTGTCCATAAAGTTTTATTTAATAAAAGCAAATTATTCGTGTTATTTTGCAAATAGAATTCAAAATTATTGACGGATAGTCGTTATTTTCGTGTCGAGTATCGCTTTTTAATTTTATTGTTTTATTTTATTAACGTGTGATTGAAAATAGAATTTATTTCTAAACCTAAAATTAACCAAATATTCAGGGAATTCAAGGAAAAATCAGGGAAAGTAAAAATAGTCTGGAAAAACAGGAAAAAGTTTGAGATTTCTATTAAAATTATTTCTATTATTAGTACTGGAAAAAATTATTCTCTAAAATAATAAAATTCTTCCCAAAAATTTAATTATTCTGAATACACTTTTAATAAAACTTCTGTAAAGATTTCAATTACTTTCAAAAGTTTAAATCAAATTCTTTATAAAAATACAATTATTTTAAATGCAATTTTAATTTAATTCCTGAAAAAAATTTAATTATTATCATAAATTATGTAAAATTCTAAGAAATATAACATTCTTTACAAGAATTCGCTTATTTTCACAAATAATATAATTTTTAGCAGAATTCAATTATTTAAAAAGATTTTTAATAAAATTTTAATAAAATTTTAAATAAAATTTCTTAAAAGAATTCAATTATTTTTAAAGAATGTAATAAAATTCGTTACAAGAATTCAATTATTTTCATAAATAAAAAAATTCTTCACAGGAATTCAATTACTTTCCAAAGTAATCAAATTCTTCAAAGAAATTCAATTATTTAAAAAAATTTTTTAATATCTTGTCAAGAATTCAGTTATCTTTATAAGTAGCAAAATTTTTCGCCAAAAATTCAATTATTTTCAAAAATTTAAATAAAATTCTTTACACAATTTCAATTATTTTCAAAAGTTTTTCGCAATTCAAAAAATTTTGATACAATTGTATGAAAATATTCAATTACTTTCATAAATAATAAAATTTCATTTAGGAATTCAATTATTTTCATCGCAGAATTTCAAATGTTTTTAATACAATTTTAGATAAATTCCTTGAAAAAGCAATTATTCTTAAAAATTTTATTAAAGCTCGACGAAAGAATTGAATTTTAAGAAAAATTGAATTATTCTATAAAATAATAAAATTCGTTGCAATAATTATTTAATTATTTTCATAACTGACTTTTAATTCATCGCAGGAAATCAATTATTTTAAAAAAATTTTTTATTAATTCTGCAAAAGAATTCAATTATCTTGATAAACAACAAATTTCTTCCTATGAAATTAATTATTTTAAGAAATTTTAATAACATTCTTTTCCAAAATTCAATTATTTTGATGAATATTAAAATTCTTCACAGGATTTCAATTATTTTTATTAATACAATTTTAAGTAAATTCCTTCGAAAAATGTAATTAATTTCAAAAATTTTATTAAAATTCTTCAAAACAAATAAATCAACAATTATCAATTATTTTTAATAATTTTTGCAAAAGTTTCTAGATAATTTCCAAATCCATTTGTTTACAATTCAATTTTACAAAATTTGATTATTCGGAAATTCTTGAATTAAATATTTAGAAAATAATAAATTGAAATAATTTTAAAAAAATTCAATTAAACTTCTTCAAAATACAATTATTTCTAAAAATTAATGCAATAATGCTTTTAATATTCAATTATTATCTAAAATTTTAACTGAAATTCATTTTTAAAACAATTTTTATTAGAAAATTCTACGATAATTCAATTATTTAAATACAATAATGAAAAATTCATCTATTTACAATTTTTTTATAAAATTTTTCGCAATAATTAAATTATTTTTTATAAGTAATAAAACTTTTATAGAGATTCAAATTATTTTCATGATTAACAAAACTCATCATAGAATTTTAATTATTTTTAATACAATTTTAACCAAATTTCTCGAAAAATGTAATTAATCTTAAAAATTTTATTGTAATTCGTCGAAAGAATTAAATTATCTTGATAAATATCAAAATTCTTCCCAAAGAATCAATTATTTTAAAAAATTTTAATAAATTTCTTCAAAAATTTTTCAATTACTTTTAAAAATTGTTATAAAATTCTCTAATATAATAAGTTTCAGTAAAATTTCATTTTTAAGAAACAGTTACAAAAATTATTAAAAATAATTGATAATTGTCCATTTATTTCTTTCGAAGAATTTTAATAAAATTTTTGAAATTAATTACATTTCTCGTAGAATTTACTTTAAAATTGTATTAAGAATAATTGAAATCCTGTGAAGAATTTTATTATTTAAGAAAATAATTGAAATATTGCAACGAATTTTTATTACATTTTTTTTAAAAATAATTCAAATCCTGTTAAGAATATTATTATTTATTTGAAAATAATTGAACTCTTGCAACGAATTTTATTACTTTTTTTTTAAATAATTGAAATCCTGTGAGGAATATTATTATTTATTTGAAAATAATTGAATTCTTGCAACGAATTTTATTACATTTCTTTTAAATAATTGAATTCCTGTGAAGAATTTTTTTATTTGTGAAAATAATTGAATTCTTACAACGAATTTTATTACATTCTTTAAAAATAATTAAATTCTTTCGAGAATTTTTTTTAAAATGGTAGATTTTGAAAATATTTGAATTTCAACCAAGAATTTCATTATTTGTGAAATATAATTGAATTCTGGCAAAAAATGTTTAAAAATAATTAGGTTTTTCGAGGAATTCATTAAAAATTGTTTTAAAAATAATTTAAATCCTAGGAAAAATTTTATTATTTATGATAATAATAATTAAGAATTCTTACAACGAATTTTATTACATTTTTTAAAAAAATTTAATTGTTGTGAAAAATTGTATTATACTTATAAAAATAATTGAATTCTTGCGAAGGTTTTTATTAACATTTTTGTAAATAATTAAAAATTTTTTTTTTAATTTTATGGAAGTTTAAATTATTATAAAACATGAAGATATCGAGAACTTCGAGTTGAAGACTCGGAGTTTTTGATATCTTCATCTTTTATAATAAATATTCTTAAAAGTTATTGAATTTCAAAAGGTTTAAATTTTAATTTTTTAAAAATCTTATTTCCTACGGAAAACTAATAATGATTAAATATTTATTTAAAAAATAAGTTATTGATGTTTTCGAATAATATTACTTTTGAAGGAATTTGTAAATAAATATCTTGCTTGAGAATATGATTAAATATTTATTTAAAAAATAAGTTATTGATGTTTTGGAGTAATTTTACTTTTGAAGAAATTTGTAAATAAATATCTTGCTTGAGAATATTTCCAGTTTTTCAATTTTTGGAATTATGCGGTAATATTGGTATTTAATGGGCTTTCTAAATAAGTGGAGGGTTATTATTTTTTCATTAATTAAGTAGCTGGACTTTAGAATTCAATAAACAGTTTAAATATATTGATGAGGAAAAAAGATTGTTAAAATATAAAAAATACTTTTTCTTTCGATATCAAAAGAAAAGAGGGAGGGAAAAATTAAAAAAAAAAAAAAAAAAAAAAAAAAAAAAATTTTAGCATCTACTTTGTTTTATTTTCATAGAGTGAAGATAAAATTTTTGTTTGAATAAAAAAAGGGATATTTATTGAAAGTGTCCTTTCGCACGACTGATTACAGTGAATCGCTTTGGTGTGATCATTGAGGCAGATAAGAGTTCAGGTATAGAGGAGAATCCCGACCCCTTGCTGGCTCTAGTAATCACTTCAGAGGTTGAAGGCTCCAATCCGAAAACTTTGCTGAAACTCGCGGAATCCTCACGACTTTTGAGCGAAGCTTCACTAAAACCGGTGAAACCCACTATCGATCCAACTATTTTGGAAGGATTTTCCATTACCAACCTAGCCATTGCAGCGACGATGAAATCTACCCTCATCAGGAAGCAATACTTCATCGAGTCGAGCGATAATGACGTTTGCGGCAGTAAGTATTGCTTTGTTTAAATACTCTAGTTTAACTTTAATTATACCTGTATATACATATATTATTCAAGTCATATATTAATCAAATACTTTTCTTTTATTTTCTTTTCTTTTTTCTTTTTTTTTTCTTTTTTTGTCTATTTGACGAAAATTTCAAATTTCATCCATATTATATTTAAGTTGATCAGTAATTAAGTATTGGAATAATAATTATGCTACTAAATTCAATTTACAATTTCCCTAACAAACCTTTATCATTATATACGTTAGAAAATTTAATTATTAATTAAAATTATCGATAAACCGGATATACTCAGGAGAGAGGTTTTTTTCCCCCATTCCTCTAGGGTCTGTCTGACGAAAAACAATTTTTTAAAGTCTACGGGAAAAAATTTTTTTCGTATATCCTTTAGACTAGAAAAACAAGTGTAAATAAAAATTAACAAATTTGCAGGATTCATAATTAGTTTTATTTCATTTTTAATATATATTTAATTAATTATTTATTTAATTTTTTCGCAATAATTTTATTATTTTTTTGGAAATAATAAAACTTTTTTTATAGAGATTCAATTATTTTCATGAATAATAAAACTCATCATAGAATTTCAATTATTTTTAATAAAATTTAAACCGAATTACACGAAAAATTTTTATTAAAATTCTTCGAAAAATTTCAATTATTTAAAAATTTGTTGATAAAATTCTTTATGAGAATTCAATTTTCAGAAACATTCGTTTATACAATAATTTTTTCATTTTATTTAAATAATTAAATTCTCGTGGAATTTTTTAATAAAAATTATTTTAAAAATAAATTAAATTTAAAATTTTAGATAATAATTAAATATTAAAAGCATTATAGCATGAATTTTTAGAAATAATTGTATTTTGAAAAAGGTTAATTGAATTTTTTAAAAATTATTTCAATTTTTTATTTTCTAAATATTGAATTCAAGAATTTCCGAATAATAAAATTTTGTAAAATTGAATTGTAAACAAATGGATCTGAAAATTATCTAGAAACTTTTGCAAAAATTATTAAAAATAATTGATCATTGTTCATTTATTTCTTGCAAAGAATTTTATTAAAATTTTTGAAATTAATTACATTTTTCGAAGAATTTATTGAAAATTGTATTAAAAATAATAGAAATCCTGTGAAGAATTTTAATATTCATCAAAATAATTTAATTTTGGAAAGGAATTTTATTAAAATTTCTTAAAATAAATAATTTCATGGGGAGAATTTTGTGATTTATTTCCTGCGACCAATTAAAAGTTATTTATGAAAATAATTGAATTACGAAAAACTTTTGAAAATAAGTGAAATTTTGCAAAGAATTTTATTAAAATTTTTGGCGAAAAATTTTGCTATTTATAAAGATAATTGAATTCTTGACGATATATTCATTAAAATTTTTAAAAATAATTGAATTTCTTCGAATAATTTTATTAGTTTTGAAAATAATTGAATTCTTGTGATGAACATCGTTATTTATGAAAATAATTGAATTTTGCAAAAAATTTTATTGAAATTCCTAAAAATAATTGAATTTATGGTGATAATTTTGTTTTTTATCAAGATAATTGAATTCTTTTGCAGAATTAATTAAAAATTTTTGATAATAATTGATTTTCTGCGACCAATTAAAAATTATTTATGAAAATAATTAAATTATTGCAACAAATTTTATTATTTTGTTGTATAAATTGAATGTTTTTTAAAATTAAAATTCTTTAATCGAATCTTAAAAAATTTTTAAGAATAATTGCATTTTTCAAGGAATTTTTTAAAAACTTTATTAAAAATATTTGAAATTCTGCGATGAAAATAATTGAATTTCTAAATAAAATTTTATTATTTACGAGAATAATTGAATGTTTTCGTAGAATTGTATCAAAAATTTATTTCAATATTAAAATTGTTTGTTAAATTTTATGAAAATAGTAAATATTGAAAATCATTGAATATCGAAAAACTTTTGAAAATAATTGAAATTTTGCAAAGAATTTTATTTAAATTTATGAAAATAATTGAATTTTTGGCAACAAATTTTGCTACTTATAAAGATAATTGAATTCTTGACAAGATATTTGTAAAAATTTTTTAAAATAATTGAATTTCTTTGAAGAATTTGATTACTTTGGAAAATAATTGAAATCCTGTGAAGAATTTTATTATTTATGAAAATAATTGAATCCTTGTAACAAATTTTATTACATTCTCTAAAAATAATTGAATTCTTTTGAAAAATTTTATTTAAATAGTAGATTTTAAAAATATTTGAATTTCAACAAAAAACTTCATTGTTTGTGAAATATTTAATGAATTCTTTGCAAAAAAATGTTTGAAAATAATTACATTTTTCGAGGAATTCATTTAAATTTGTATTATTTCTGATAATAATTGTATTTTTACAACGAATTTTATTACATTTATTTAAAATAATTTAATTGATGTGATAAATTCTATGAAAAATGTTATGGAAGTTTATAATAATATTCTTAAAAGTTATTGAATTTCAAGTGGTTTAAATTTGAATTTTTTTTTAAAATCTTAATTCCTATGGAAAAATAATAATGATTAAATATTTAATTAAAAAAGAAGTTATTGATGTTTTCGAATAATTTTACTTCTGATGAAATTTGTAAAATTATGGTGCATAAAATGAACTTATTTTCGAAAATAAAATGCAAATACGTCAGTCGTGACATTAAAATAAATGAATTAATATTATTGATAATATAAACGCTGGAAATATTACCGGAAAAAACACGATATTCTTATACGAAAATAAATTTAGTTAATAAAATTACCAATTTCAAATTGGTAATATTGATTTACAGAATATAAATACGTTCTATCAATATTGAAAGGTAAATTGAAATTAATTTTTTATTTTTATAATACTCTAAAGAAAGGATACGTCGTTTTCGTAAATTTTTCATATAATGTATAAAAGTTACGGTAGATATACAATATTGATGGATTGGTTTTAATAAAAAAAAGAAAATTGTTTTTCTTTTTTGTACGATAAAATTCTATCAAGCTTCGAATTTTATTTTTTCATGAATTTTCCTCCCGACCCTGAACATTTTCACATTATCTATTATATTACTCGAGGGTCTTCATATTGACCTTTGAGCATCAATCTTCGATTAGGAAAAATTTTTTAAATCTATTTAATAATGATAATACAAAAGTATATTAACACAATATACTATTTTTCACTGCACAATGATGAATTATTAATTAACCAGCAAATGTTACGTACGCGAAACGTGAAATTCAATTTATTATTATTATGCATAATTACAAAATTATTTTATGTACAAATATAAATTTTTGAATAATTTCATAATGAAAATTTTAAAAAATTAATTATTAAGTATATAATTAATTATTATTTTTTAAATATTTTCATAAATTGTAATATAATTATACTGAAAATTCGAAATTCTTTAAAAGATAATTCATTTATTTTCTAAAATTTTAATAAATCCTTAGAAAAATTTCAATTACTTTCTAATATTTTTAAAATTCTTCGAAATAATTCAATTTTTTCTTAATTCGTTATAAAATTCCAGAACAGAATTCAATTATTTTCTAAAAATTTAATAAATTCTTTGACACAAATCAATTTTTTAATAACTTTTAATAATATTTTCGAAAAAATTCAATTACTTTGAAAATTTTGAATTAAAAATATTAAAGAAATTTCATTATTTTGAAAAATTCAAAGAAATTCTTCAAAAGAATATGTAATTAGGATTTTCAAAAATTTTTCGCAAGAATTCAATTATATTTTCATAAATAATAAAAATCCTTGAAGGAATTCAATTATTATCAAATTTAAACAAAAATACTTTGGAGCTATTCAATTAATAAGAATAAAATTTTTAAAAAATTCACAAAAGGATTCATTTATTTCTTTAAATTTTTAATTAAATTTTTCAAAAGCATTTAATTATTTAAAAAATATTTTAATAAAATTCATAGAATAATTCAAAAAATTCAATTATTCTCAAAAACTTTAACAAAACCCTTCTAAGAATTCAATTATTTTTCCAAATACTAACATTTTTCACTGAAATTCAATTATTTTCAAAAATGCAATAAAATTCGTTTCAAAAATTCAATTATTTTTCCAAATGCTAACATTTTTCACTGAAATTCAATTATTTTCAAAAATGCAATAAAATTCGTTTCAAAAATTCAATTATTTTCATAAATAATAAAATTCTTCTACAAAATTCAATTACTTTAAAAAATTTTAATAAAATTCTTGACAAAATTTCAATTATTTTTAAAAATATTTTAATAAAATTCTACGCAAACATTTAATTAGTTTCATAAATAATAACATTCTTCGCAGAAATTCAATTATGTTCAACATTTAAAAAAAAATTCTTGTCAAAATTTAAATTATCTATATAAAATATAAATTATTAAATTCTTCTTCAAAATTCAATTATTTCAAAAATTGTAATATAAATTTCTACTAAAAAAATTAATTATTTTCATAAATAATAAAAATTTTACAGGAATTCAATTAATTATAAATTTTTTATAAATTTCTTTGCAATATTTAAATTATTTTCTTGAATAATAAAATTCCTTCAGAGTTTCAATTAGTTTTGTAAATAATAAAATTCATCGCAAGAATTTAATTATTTTTATTCAATTTTAATTAAATTATTCGAAATAATTGAATTATTCTTTTAAATTTTCATAAAAAATTTCAAATTATTTTAAAAAAGTTTAACAAAATCATTCTCAACAATTCAATTATTTTCACAAAAAATATTAAAATTTTTTACTGGAATTCAAAAAATTCAATAAATTTCGTCGCAAAAATTCAATTATTTTCATAAATAATAAAATTCTTCGAAAGAATTTAATTATTATTAAATTGTTTGACAAAATTGTTTGCAGGAATTTAATTGTTTTGAACACAATTTTAAAAAAATTGCACGTAAGGATTAAATTATTTTTTTTAATTTTAGTAAACTTTTTGCAAAGAATAATAAAATTCGTTGCCAGGAATTCAATTATTCTCAAATTTTTTTAATATAATTCTTTGCAAGAATTCAATAAATTTAAATACATTAATTTTAAAATTGAAAATATATTTAAAAAGAAAAATTATTTAAAAAGTTAGGAAACAAAAAAGCAAACAACAAATAACTTTAAACTACCTACGAACAAATTAACAGAATACAACGATTATTAATATAGAAGATAAATTTTCTGTTGCAAAGGAAAAAAAATAAAAGATTTTTATTAGAATTCTATTTTAAAAGTGTATAGGTAATGTAGATAAGTGATTTAATTCTTCCTTAAATGGATTTAATAAAAATTATTATCGGAAAGAGAATATCGCCTTTTTTTTGCTGCTGCTGCTGCATGAGAATTTTCCACTATTACAAAAGAACGTATTTTTTTTATTAAAGATGACTATCTCTTGGGCACGGAAGCTCGTCTTCGTAGGATCAAGTCTGCCAATAGTAGATATGTAACGACAAAAAGGAAATCCGGACAGGATGACGGCAGTTCCTCTTCGTCGCCATCCGTTGAGAACAATTCCGGATATCATCTACTTCTGAACGAGCCAGAAGACATTTCCAGTCAACAGCCAAAATCGTCACTCAAAGTCGTCGATTCAAAATCAACTGAAACCACCAGCAAAACTCAAAATGGCAAAAATCATAAACGCAGACCAAAAACTGCTCGAAACAGGTACAAAACAATTTCACTGAGAATCATTCGAAAATTTTTTTAAAATTCTGAAAATAATTTAATTTCTGTCAAGTATTTTATTACTTTTCAAAAAAATTGAATCATTCTGATGAATATTGATATTTATCAAAATAATTGAATTTTGAAAAAGAATTTTGTTAAAATTCCTTAAAACAATTGGATTTTGGAAAAGAATTTTATTAAAATTCCTTAAAACAATTGATTTTATGGGGAGAATTTTGTTGTTTATCAAGATAATTGCGAATTATTTTCCAGAATTAATTAAGAATTTCCCTGTGACTGAAATAAAGATTCTAAATTTAATCCTATAGTTCACAGCCCACTAGAAAAAAAATTCCATATTCTGTAAAAAGTATCCAAAGAATTTACACTGTGATACCGTAAGAGTAAAAAAATTCTTTCCACCTAAAATGATTTTCCCTGATGGAAATTGCAGGTGGGAATAAATTTCAATCACGTTAAAAGGAAAAGAATATACGTATATTTATTAAGATTTGGTGAAAATTCCTTTGAAACTTTTACATAAAAGCAAAAAAAAAAAGTTATATTTCAAGTATCATATCTTGTTTCTCGAAGAGAAAACTTCTAAGGTTCTCTCTTTAAAGAATAGTTTCAGTCAAAAGTTAATGATAAATTTTTTACATTCTCTTCTTTTATTAAATTTCACTTCTTTACATTTTGCTTTACTTTGTTTTTTGAATTTATAATGAAAATTGAAATGAACAATTAATCGAAAATAAAAATTATTTTATTCAGAAAAAAAAATTATAAATGTCTCAGAACCAACAGGACTTTTTACTTGTCATAAATAAATTTTATCTGGTTTTTAGAAAATTTTTCTTTGTGACAAAATAAAATTTTTAATAAACAAACAGGATTGCCACAAAAAAATTAATATTGTTTTTCCCTGACTTTTCTCTGATTTCCAGACAAAATTTTGACTTTCTCCCTGACCCTAAAGAAGATTTTAATTAATTTTAATATACAATTTTAAATGAATTCCTCGAAAAATGTAATTATTTTTAAACATTTTTTGCAAGAATTCAATTACATTTCACAAAAAATAAAATTCTTCGTTGAAATTCAAATATTTTTAAATTCTACTATTTTCATACAATTTCTCAAAAGAATTCAATTATTTAAAAAAAATTGTAATAAAATTCGTTGTAAGGATTCAATTATTTTCATAAATAAAAAAAAATTCTTCACAGGATTTCAATTATTTTTAATACAATTTTGAGTAAATTCTTCAAAAAATGTGATTAATTTCAAAAAATTTATTAAAATTCTTCGAAACAAATAAATGAACAATTATCAATTATTTTTAATAATTTTTGCAAAAGTTTCTAGATAATTTTCAACTCCATTTGTTTACAATTCAATTTTAAATTTTGATTTTTTAGAAATTCTTCAATATATTTAGAAAATAAAAACTTGAAATAATTTTTTTAAAAAATCCAATTAAACTTTTTTAAAATTCAATTATTTCTAAAAATTTTTGCTATAATGCTTATAATATTAAATCATCATCTAAAATTTTAACCTAAATTCATTTTTAAATCAATTTTTATTAGAAAATTCTACGAGAATTCAATTATTTAAATACAAAAATAAAAAATTTATTCAATAATTGAATGTTTCTTAAAATGAATGAATGTTTTTTGAATGTTGCTTACTGAAATTTATTATGTAAAAGAATTTTATAACTATTTTTAGAAAATAATAATTGAAAATTTTCTGAAGAATTTATTAATTAAAATTTTTAAAAATAATTGAATTCTTGAGAAGAATTTAAATAACAGTTTATGAAAATAATTGAATTCATGAGAAGAGTTTTATTAAATTTTGTTTAAATAATTGAAATTTTGCCAAGAATTTTATTTAAATTTTTTGACAATAATGGAATTTTTGGCGATAAATTTTGCTATTTATAAAGATAATTGAATTCTTGACGAGATATTCATTAAAATTTGCAAAAATAATTGAATTTCATCGAAGTATTTTATTAGTTTTAAAAATAATTGAATTCTTGTGATGAATATCGTTATTTATGAAAATAATTGAATTTTGCACAGAATTGTATTAAAATTGTTAAAAGTAATTGAATTTATGGTGAGAATTTTGTTGTTTATCAAGATAATTGAATTTTTTTGCAGAGTTAATTAAAAAATTTTGAAAATAATTGAAATTTTGCAAAGAATTTTATTAAAATTCTTTGCAAATAATTGAATTTTGTAAAAGAATTTTGATATTTATAAAAAACAATTGAAATTTTGAGAATTAAAAACAAATTTTTTTGAAAATAATTGAATTTCTGCGAAGAATTTTCTTACTTTTGAAGATAATTGAATTTTGCAAAGAATTTTATCAGAACTTTTGGAAATGATTAAATTTCCGGGATGAATTTTATTATTTACAAAATTTTGAGGAGAAATTTAAAAAAATTTTGAAAATAATTGAATTTGTGCGAAGAATTTTTTTACTTTTGAAGATAATTGAATTTTGCAAAGAATTTTATCAGAACTTTCAAAAATAATTAAATTTCCGGGAAGAATTTTATTATTTATAAAGATAAATAAAATTTTTACGAGAGATTTAAAAAAAATTTTGAAAATAATTGAATTTCTAGGATGAATTTTATTATTTATAAAGATAATTGAAATTTTGACAAGAATTTTATTAAAATTCCTTGCAAATAATTGAATTTCAGAGAAGAATTATATTATTCTTAAAGATAATTAAAATTTTGAACATATTTTTTTTTAAGGACGTTTAAAAGTAATTGAATTTTGCAGAAGAATTTTGATATTTATAAAGATAATTGAAATTTTGAGAAGAATTGAAAAAAAATTTTTGAAAATAATTGAATTTCGAAGAAGAATTTTATTACTTTTGAAAATTATTGAATTTCAGAGAAGAATTTTATTATTTATAAAGATAATTGAATTTTTGACGAGATATTCATTAAAATTTTCAAAAATAATTGAATTTCTTCGAAAAATTTTATTAGTTTTGAAAATAATTGAATTTCTAGGATGAATATCGTTATTTAAGTGAATTAATTGAATTTTGCAAAGAATTTTATTAAAATTCCTGAAAAGAATTAAATTTAGATTTTTCTTACGAATTCTAAAAATTTATTTTTTCCCAGTACTTTTAATAAAAATCCCTGACTTTTCCTGACCTGTGTCAATCCTGATAAAGTTGAAATATTTAATAAATAAATAAAAGAAATATTTTTATTTTACATTTTCTTTCTTTTTAATTTTTTTTTTATTATTGTATTACTTTCTACTATATTTATTCGAAATTCATGACATAGGAATTTTTGACTTTTTTTGTTGTTGAAGAATATCACCAAAAGAAACAAGTCAGTCAGAATCGAAGGTGAAAATGAAGGAGGAAGAATCTGTTCCGTCATCTCCCACTGATCCTTTAGAACCGTGGAGCACTCGAGGCATCACAGATATGAATACAATTCTTGCTTGGAAGGAAACAACGCCGGATAGTCCTTAGTATTTATTTTAACAAAAGGGACAAACTTTTCTTTAAAAAAAATCTATTGTAAATAAAAATGCTCTCTCGAATGTTCATCTTTATAATATTTATGAGAATAAATTATTTTCCGCTCAAACAATAATAAATCTTGATGAATTTCTCTTTCAACAGTAGACAAAATGAATAATTAATTATTATTAAAGGGGTCACCTTTCCTGCGCCTCTATTTTCAAATACAAATTAGGACCTTACAAATTCCCTTGTTTTATCATTTAAATTAATAAATGATGATTATTAAATTCAAATGAAGGTGAGAATATGGAATAATGGATTCTAACCCTTGATACCCTTACTACATAGTACATTTTTTTTCTTTTCTTAGAATAATTACTTTTTTTCAATTATTCAATAAATACATTTTTTTTGAATTATAAAAAATGTTTTGGGAGATAAAATGGTGGTTTGATTTCTCCACCTGAGAACGCCAAGGACGCCACCAGATGGCGGGAGAAATTCCAAGAAATAAATAAATTCCGAGAAGTGAACTGACATCTGGCGGTGACCTTGGCGTTCTCAGGTGGAGAGAAGCGTCTCCATATTGAATCTCAAGATTTTCGTCAATATTCCTTATTTTTAAATTATTTATAATCAAATTTAGAAAGTTTGTCAATTAATATAAACAAATTTCAATTTTAATTTACTTTCCTTGTTGATATATTTAACGCCTCAAATTTTTTAGAGCCTTGGAATTAATTTTTCCAGCAAATAAATTAAAATTTAAAATGACCATTGATAAAAATGAATCCAATGTTCGATTCCCGAAGTTTATTCGAATTTTTCAATCTGTTTTTGCGTAGAAATAAAAAGTTAATTATTATATAGCAAAAATGTGAAAACTGAAAGAAATTTAAAAGAAAATTAGTGGAAATAAAATAATATATGAAAAGCTGTTAAAAATAGTAGATATAACAACTTGTCTATAGTCATGATAATGGATATACTTTAGTTGCAATAAAATAGCAAGTACAAATCGATACAATTCTGGAAGTGGAAGGCGTTGACCAACTGTGTATATACATATAAAGACACGCAGTTCATTTCTATTCAGAGTTCAATTTTACCCTCTCTTACAATATATGTACAGAACTATAAATTACCTTTTCGTAGTGGCATGTCAGAAGCAATCTATTATTTTCCCAACATTCCGGAAACATTTATTTTAAATAATGTTATTTATAAAATAGTCTTAAAGTAATAATCGGAAATTTACCATTTTTTTCGCTTCTAACAATTTATGTATCTGTCGCATTAGTTCTATAAAATACTGTCACGCGTTAGATTTTTCGAAAAGAACGTTATAAATATTAACTCGTTTTTTATACTTGTTTTTTTATTTTTAAATCCAAAAACCACATTTTTGATTAAGACATTTTTTTTATATGTGAATTTTTGATTTTTTTAAACTATAATTTAATTATTTATTAAACAATCATTATATTCTTAATATTATTATTAATACAGGCTTCACACTCAAGAATTAATAATTATCTAAAATTTCAACTGAAATTCATTTTTAAATCAATTCTTATTAGAAAGCTCAACTGCAATTCAACTATTTAAATACAAAAATAAATAATATATTTAATAATTGAATGTTTCTCAAAATTTAATTCTTATAAAGAATTTATCAATTTTTAAAAAAATAATTGAAATTTTTAGAAGATTTTAATTTAATTTTTTTTAATAATTGAATTTTCGTAACAAGTTTTATTATTTGGGGAAATAATTAAATAATTGTGAAAAATTAAACAAAGAATTAAAGAATTTATCAATTTTTAAAAAATAATTGAATTTCTGAGAAGAATTATTTTATTATTTATGAAAGTAATTGAAATTTCGAGAAGAATTTAATTAAATTTTTTTTAAATAATTGAATTCTCTCGAAAAGTTCTATTATTTGAGAAAATAATTGAATTCTCTCGAAAAGTTCTATTATTTGAGAAAATAATTGAATAATTGTGAAAAATTAAAGAAAGAATTAAAGAATTTATTAGTTTTTTTAAAAATAATTGAATTTCTGAGAAGAATTATTTTATTATTTATGAAAGTAATTGAAATTTCGAGAAGAATTTAATTTAATTTTTTTTAAATAATTGAATTCTCGTGAAAAGTTCTATTATTTGGAAAAATAATTGAATAATTGTGAAAAATTAAAGAAAGAATTAAAGAATTTATCAATTTTTTTAAAAAATAATTGAATTTCTAAGAAGAATTTTATTATTTATGAAAACAATTGAATTTTTGCAAAGAATTTAATTCAATTTTTTTTAAATAATTGAATTGTCTTGAACATTTTTATTATTTGGGAAAATAATTTTAAAAAATTCAAAAATTCTTAAGAATTTATCAGTTCTTTAAAAAAATAATTGAATTTCTGAGAAGAATTTTATCATTTATGAAAATAATTGAATTTTGGCGAAGAATTTTATTTAATTCTTTTTAAATAATTGAATTCTCTGGAAAAATTTGATAATTTGAAAAAATAATTGAATTCTTGTAAAGAATTTTATAATTTTTTTTTTTTTTTTTTATTTTATAATTTTTATTAAAATTTTTATAAATAATTGAATTTTTGTGAAATATGTTATTGTTTGTAAAAATAATTATAAAACATTTTTAAATTGATTTTTTCAAAAAATTTTATGAAATATTTTAAATAATTCAATTCCTGTGAAAATTTTATTCGGTATAAAAAAATTGAATTTGAGAATAAATGAATCGTTTTAAAGAATTTTATTACAATTTCCAGAATTTTTTTTTATTTCAAAATTCAATTATTTTTCAAAATTTTAATAAAGTTCTTGGCAAAATTTCAATTATTTACAAAAATTTCCATAAAATTCTTCGCCAAAATTCAATTATTTTGAATAATTTTATAATGCTATGCTCAACAAGATTCAATTATTTTCAAAAAATGCTTTGCAGAAATTCAATTATTTTCGGGAATTTTAATAAAATTCTTTGTAGAATTCAATTATTTTCATAAATAACAAAAATTTACCACAAAAATTTAATTACTTTCAAAAATAATAATAAAATAATAATAAAATTTTAATAATTTCTTGACAAAAATTCAATTATAAAAATTCAATTATAAAATTTGCATAAAAATTCTTCGAAACCATTTTATTATTTTGAATAATTTCAATGTAATTTTCAATAAGATTTAATTATTTTCAAAATTTTTCATAAATTTTCTTACTAAATATAAAAAAATAAAAACTAAAATTAAATTATTTTAATAATAAGATAATTCTTAAGAAAGAAAGAAAGAAAATTCTTAATAATAATAATAATAATTCAATTATCTTAATAATAATCTTTGCTTTAAAGCAAAGAATTTTATTATTTTTAAGATAATTGAATTTTTTTATAAAAAGTAAATTTTTTTTTTAGAAATTGTAACTTAAAATAACGTAATAGAAATTTTCCGTGCCTTGAATAACTATAAGTGAATTATAACAAGTAATGAGACATTTGTGTACGCAAGAGATTAAGCAAATATTTGTACATTATATCATTTTTTTCCTTTTGTTTGTGAGAGAAACCGGCTAATATTTACCCCAGTTGATTCTAATGTTAACTTTATGATTAATATATTGAAAAAATACACAATAATAATATCAACAAATTCGTATCAACCACATGTGTATGTATATAAAATAAATCCTCTTGATATTTTTCTCATACGTTTTTATATTAACTCTCCCCTTCTATTTCTCTTTTTAATTCTGAGTCCTCTCGACACTTTTTTTTTTTTATTTCTATTTATCACCCTAAGGATATTCATAATTTCTGTAAATACAGAGAGTTTATAACGAGTCACGTCATATCGTCTAGTCGTGTCGTTCTCAATTCAAACATGAAGTGAATTGCGCGAACGATGAGTGCAACAGGAATAATAAAAATTCTCCAACACCAGCAATCCTTTCATTTTGCACGCATGTGACACTGACATTTACGTGTCATATGTTACCGAAAATTGCCGATTCAATATAAACCCGACTTATTTAGTTGATATCTGTTACTAGTACTCGGCGTGCAGAAATTTAAATGCAAACCACATGAGAGAATCCAGGGGATTTCCTATATTGTTAGAAAGAAAAAAAAAAAAAATATATATATATATATAGGGTAATTTTTATACCGTTTACAATAAAGTAAAATTTGAACTATATCTAGAAGTTGTGAGCATTTTTTTTTTTGAACACAACTTTTACATAGCAATTTTTAATAGAAAATAAAAATCTATATTAATAATCCTTGTATTTCGGTAATCTGTTCGACTTTTTGTTTTCTAACTAAATAATAAAATTCTTCTCCGAAATTCAATTCTTTAAAAACAATTTTAATAAAATTCTTGTCAAAATTTCAATTATCTTTATAAATAATAAAATTCTTCTCTGAAATTCAATTATTTTCAAAAGTAATAAAATTCTTCGCACAAATTCAATTATTTACAAAAATTTTTTTTAATTTCTCGTCAAAATTTCATATAAATAATAAAATTCATCGTGGAAATTTAATTATTTTCAAAAGTTCTGATAAAATTCTTTGCAAAATTTAATTATTTTTTTAAATTCTCCTCAAAATTTTAATTATCTTTATAAATAATACAATTTTTCTCTGAAATTTAATTATTTGTAAAAATAATAATAAAATTCTTGTCAACATTTCAGTTATCTTTATAAATAATAAAATTCTTCGCAGAAATTCAATTATTTTCAAAATTTTTTTTAAATCTCTCGTCAAAATTATCATTATCTTCATAAATAATAAAATTCATCATGGAAATTTAATTATTTTCAAAAGTTCTGATAAAATTCTTTGCAAAATTCAATTATCTTCAAAAGTAAGAAAATTCTTCACAGAAATTCAATTATTTTCAAAAAAATTTTTTTTAAACATTTTACAAAAAATTTTTAAAAAAATCTGTTCAAAATTTCAATTATCTTTGTAAATATCAACATTCTTCAGCAAAATTCAATTATTTGCAAAGAATTCTAATAAAATTCTTGTCAAAATTTTTATTACCTTTATAAAAAATAAAATTCATTCTAGAAAT